GCCACATGAGTCAAAAGATAACGTGTGAGGACAGGTGAAAGTGAAGCGCAAGCCAGTGTAGTTACTGTAGTTCATCAATGCGATCAACAGGTGGCGCAAGCAGCAGTGAACGCGACACGGCACACGGAGGACATTAAGGTGCTTCAAAATACAATTTGCGTCTCGTCTCAGTCGTGTCTGAACATATTTTCTACGTTTTTAATGACTGACACATCCTCAACGTCATCATCTTTGATTTTTCAAGTCACAGGGGAAAAGAAGCTGCTTCTTATATATCCAGAACCTTTGAACTTTTCCTTAGTATTAAACTCATCCAGTGATAGTCGTCTGTAAATCTATGGATACACTGCAAACAGGAAATGCTAGCAGCGTCTGTATATTTCTATAGTGCCAATTTGTCAAAATGACAACAAATATGTGGTAAAAAGTTGCAGCCCATGAATCCAGAATTTTCAATCTCCATGGTTCTTGTGTGCATCATACGCAACTTGTCCAGAACATGCAATTCATAGCATGACCAATGGGGGCAGTATAGATTGGGACATGAGGACAGGAAGTTTTAAAGCGATGTCACAACTGCTGCCATGACCTCCACATTAACAAAATAATAACAGAGGTAATTCAACCCAAAAACGGCCCCCTAGTGGACGTTTTATTCCTCAAAGTGCACGAATCCGCTCATGGACGATGGTGCTCAAGTCATGACCTCTTGCTCATGCGTTGGAGTTGTTAAAATCACAGATCTATATACGCTCCATCACATTTGTGTGAGGTAGAGGTTCATCAACAACCCTTCATTTCACTGGAACAAGTCCGGTCATCCGTTAGATAAATATTAAATAAGCGCACAAGACATCAACACTCACACCAAGACAAACACTAACAAGATGAAATGTGTCTCAAACATATTCAGGGGAAGGGCCAATCCAAATCTGATACAGGAATTTGTGTGTCTCTCACAGTAACACATAATCTCATTATTTACTCCACTTCCAGTATTTTTTATAATTTTACTGTAAAAGTCATTTTACAGGCAGCTTATCGCCTCTTTTAGAGGCTGAACACATTTCATCTCTTCACCAAACGTGAAGAGATGATTTCATGGAATGATTCAGGAAATAAAATGTTCAATGATGATGACGGAAAACAAATGAAAAGCAAACTGAGCCCAAAGAAGAAACACAAAGAGATCGACACATTGTGACATTCAAAGATCTGATACTCTGAACAAAAAAAAAAAAGGAATAGACAAGTGGAACCGTTGGTGGAAACATACTTAAAGAATAAGTAGAGGATTTGAGTTGTCACTGGTCGTTTCCCCTGGACGTGAGTCAGTCGGCTGGGGACATGTATGTGGGAGTGTGTGGTACATTCTTCAGCGTCTGCCAGCTACAGTTTACAGTCCACTGCTGGGCCTCAGAGCAGAGGAGGGGTGGTGGGAGTTAAATAAGGCCTCATTTTCCTTTTCACATGCCTGCCTCATCACTGACAGACCCCTCCGGTCTCTCTCAGGTCCCTAGTAAGAGTCTGGAGGGGAACTGGAGTTCGTAGGTGAGACCTCCTGATCTCGGCTCAGCGCTTCAGAACCGGGCTGCCTCGCTCCAGATCTTTCTGTAAAGCCTGTAGGACCTGAGGGGAACAGAGGGATAATTAAGAAAACAAAGATGCAAGAAACCGCATCGAACAAGACGCCGAAACCGAACAGCTTTAACACCCCACCTGTGACCATTTCCTGTTGCGGCTGGTCATGTGCACAGCAGCGATGTGCTGGAAGAGCTGCTCGGCCGGTAGGAAGTCCGGCAGGCGGGTGAGGAACTGAGCCATGTGGATGAAGTCCATGCAGGTCAGGACGTCCTGGTAGAGACGCAGCAGGCCGAGCGCCGTGCGGAATAGGAACTCCTCGCTGTCTCTGCAGAACACGTCCCAAACCCGACATGCCAGATCCAACGGCAGCGACTTACTGTACAGAGTGAAGATCCTGGAGGGATGGATGAAAGGAGGGACAGGGGAATAGGAGCAGAAAATACTGGGTTTGAGAAAATGAAGTGTCAATCCAAGTGTATATCTCAGACAAGGCAACAGTCCCCCCGAAGAAACTGCATTTAAAATGAATAGATCAAGACTTCTTTTTTTTTTTCCAAGCAAACATTTATAATAATCAGTTCCCTAAACATGCCAGATATTTTTCATCCAGATTCATGAATCATTCTCTGAGAACTAAACAGAAATTATGGAAATCACCCCATCTCACATTGATAAAGTTAAAAAATAAAATAAATAAATCCTGGAGCTAACATTCTGCACCTCAGCAGGGCTGCAACAAGGTGATTAACTTATAAACTGAACCACCAAAAATTCATGGGCAGCTATTTTAATAATCTGTTAATTATTTTGGTTCTTTTTTTAAGCAAATGCAAAAAGTTTCAATATTTCCTGGTTCTCAAATGTAATATTTTGCTGCTTGTCGTCATCTGATATTAAATATTTTTAGGGCTGTCGTCTCCGGTTATTGTTAAACCAAGAAATCGTGTCTCATAAGTCTAAAGAAAACCAACATATGAATACCAAGGCAGTTGTGATATAAGTGAAAATAGTGGGGGGTTAGTGGGCAGAGATCACCGACGCACACCTGACTACAGTAACAGCCCTTCCTGTTTTCTCAGAAAAGCAAACTCAACACAAGAGTCATGTTTCTTGATGACGACAAGTTTCCATCAGGGAGGGGAACAAGTTGAACTGCGTAGGGGGAGAATATATCGTATTCTCATATTGTGGCTTCATATGTATATTTCCATTCCAGTTGTGAAATTACGTAAGGTCGAAGAGGAAATATTGTACTATAATAGAATATGGAAAAAAAATGGCATATCATGAAGTTTAGGAGGAGAAAAAGAGATAGAATAAATAAAAAATACTACGAAAAAAACAGAGGAGCTGGAGACTCACCAGTCGATTAAATAAATATCGGGGGTCAAGTTGTTTTTCTTGAAATGTGCAAAGAGCTTTGGTAGGTTTTCTTCAAAGAACACTTCAAATGCCGCAAAGTATGTCAACATCTGCGGAGAGGAGAGAAGATGGTGTCACAGAGCCAAGCAAACCAAATCAGCGCGTTCAATCGGCAGGGCAGTGAGTCAGAGCAAAACATAAACACAGCGCACAGAGATGCAACAAAGGGAGATTTTTCTGGTCAGGTATGAGTGTGAGACCGCCGATGTGATTTCTGTAGTGCACGAGACCCTGCTCAGGCGGAGACAGAGGAGTTAAAAGCTCTACGTTCATCTTTTCACACCCGGTGTTGAAATGACTCCTGAATGTGTCTCCTGCGTCCACATGTGATGAGATCTCACTTTCCTGCTATATATGTGTATCATGTGTTCATGATGACCAAATTATGTTTTTCCCAGTCTGCGTTTACAGAAGTGTGCAATGATAATGTTTCTACGAGTGTGTGTGTGTGTGTGTGTGTGTGTGTGTGTGTGTGTGTGTGTGTGTGTGTACTGACAAGGCTGTGGTCGACTCTGAAGAAGGCCATCTGACACGGTTTGTTGAGCAGGTTGGCAAAAGCTATAAAGGCATCGGCTGTGTCCAGGTTCAGGATGAGCACTGCTGCAATGAATGACATTCCCTGCACCTACACACACACAGATTGAAAAAAACACACGCAAATGGTCTCACTGTGAGCTTGTATGTAAAAACCTTGACCTGGTTTGACTTCCATCTCTGAAAGTGAGTGTAGAGAAAGGTGCAGGAGAACATGAACACCTGCTGGAGGTGAATTTCACACAGCGACCTCACTGACCCTCTTGTTCATCTAAAACACTGATTCTATAAAATGGAATTCAAGAATGTAATTTGCAATTAGAAGTGGCTCGGCTTGGGGCTGAAAGTATCAGGAGAAATGCTGACGCCGGCGGCCACAAAACAAAAAAAGCACCCTGTGCACAGAGGTGAATGCAATGACTGTGCATTTGAGGCAGCTCATGGGTTGGGGTCAGTGCAGGAAGTTATTCACTTATAGAAAAGCACAGAGAGCTTGGGGCTGTGGTGAGGAGCGGAGAGACAAACCACAGCATCAACAAGCTCAAGGTGCAAACACGAGTTTGTACATAGTAAAAGCATGATGTTCAAATCACCAAGGAACATTTGGTTTTTGTTGCCACTGCACAGGGGGGGGGTTTAAAAACGAAATTTAAGCATTCATCTCCATAGGGGTATTAAAAATGTAGCACAGATCAAGAGGAGTCACTGAGAGCAAGTAGTCATGTTGATGACTACAGATATCTTATATACACATTTGATTAGAGGGCATTATCTTTAAAAACATGTCATGATGTAGAGACATCGGCTGACTCATAATCGAAGACGATTTTAAAAACACCGGGTGGCGTTACGAGCAATATTTTTAACCCATGAAATGCTGATTTTTAAAAGATTGTGATATTAACACCAACATAAATGTGTTTCATTAAAGAACAATTATATATTTTTTTTGGAGCTCAAATAAGAGTGAAGTGTTTAGGTGTGCAGCATCTCTTTAAGCTTCAAGGAACAAAGTGGGTATTAACTATAGGGATAAAGTTGCTGAAAGGTGACAGGGGAAGTATTGCATCTGCGAGAGTGTGACTTACGTAGCCAACGTCTGGCCGGTAACAAGTGTATGCTCCCAGAATGCTGTGCAACACATCGTGATAGGGCCCGCCCTGGTAATGAACAAAAGAAATAATGAAGACATACAAACAAATGGACTAAACGTAAATTTAAACTTATCCCATTATTTGCTTTCTGCATTGGAAACACACTGAACAGGTAAAAGGAGAAGAGCAGCCGTGGTAGCGCCATCGTGTTGGTGGTTGTTGGCTGAGCTTCTCTCACTGACCTGCTGGAAGATGCACAGTTGGGGGAAGGTTCTCGAGATGTCCAGCTTGATCAGCTCCAGGCTCGACTCCCTGTCTAAAGAACCAGCATCTGACGGGAAGACGCGGCAGCACGTTCAGAAACACACAGAAAGATGCGGGATGATATAACGTTAAAAGAAAAAGTGGGAAACAGTGATTGACAGTTTCTCGTCTTTCTCTACCATCAGTTTCGATCTCGGCGGCAGGTGCTGGCGTGGTCCACTTCTCTTTCGCCCGGGACAGACAGATGTTGTACAGCTCTGCAGGGAAACATCACAGCCATAAGAGATGAAGGGAAGACAGAGGCTAAAGAGACTGAGCAGAGAGCAGGATTACTGGACAGATGATGAAAGGATTCAGCTCCTTTGAGGTGGAGACAGAAAACAGATCTCCTGCCGTCTCAAGAGGACATTTATTTCGGTGCAGTACGATGAATGCACCCCGGCATGGCTTACACCTGAGGCTGCCTTCCAGTGATTAAGCGGGATCGAAATAATGAGCGTTCCGAAACATGATGTGGAGCTCTACACTGCTCTGGCTGATCAATGTTAACTACATGCAGAGGGTTTGTAAGGAGAGGACGAGAAGTGCAGTCTAATGTAAAGATGCATTGATTTCACAGAGATATCTTAACACAGAAGCTACAGCCACACTACTCGGTTTTTGTTTGAAAGCAAATCAACTCTGCTACGGATACGCCTGGTGTCCACACTACTCCAGAATTTTAGAGCCGCCAAACCGGGGAGTTGGAGAAACGCTGCTGGCCTTGTTTTAGATTGAAATCGCAGAACACAACATGGATCATCAATTACAAGAAAGAAAATTCTCACTCTTACTTTTCACCATTGCTGCTTCTAGTTCGTAGCCTAGTGCTTCCTGAGATAAATAACCAAATGCTTCCTCACGGCAGGTGGCTCTCCATTATCAGGCTTGTTAGTATGGACGGGGAGTAAAATTGATTCAGAGCCAAAACTGAAAGCAGTTCTTAAACGAAAATGTGGAAGTATAAATGTAACCACATATATTCATACATACAAGCACTATGTACAACAGTGCAACAAATACAATCATGCAAACACAAGCCAGAAGTTTCAGTTAATGTTCAGGTCACATCTCAATGACTGTGACAGGACAGATGGTTTGAGTGTCAAAGAAAGCGATCTTAGTCCTTGTAGCAGTACGTAAAGTGAGGGGAATACTGCCAGCTGCTAAAGAGATGGACAACTTTGACTGTGTGTGTGTGTGTCACTGTGTGTGTGTAGGGTGATAATGGTAAAGGGCTTGGGAATTCATTATACCATTAAGTGTAGAAGTACAAGTATGCGTCTCAAGCCACAGAACTCATTGAAATGCTGCATGTTTGCGCTTGTGCTCGAGCTCAGTGGACCATGCTCCTGCTTTAATAGACCTTCAATCTCACTGCCACTTCTGCTCAATAACAAAAGCTGAGACAAACTGCTACACTCATCTATGTTTATGTATGTGGGTGCATGTATGTGTGGGTGCATGTATGTGTGGGTGCATGTATGTGGGTGCATGTTCACACAAATAGAACATTGAATGAAAGACGGAAGTATCAGTGTGGTTTTTACTGATTGTTCTGAAGGTCAAATATGTAACAGATCAGCACAGCTGAAAGTTTCACCATTTCTCCTCATTCACTCCCACGACTTACCGTGTGTTACGTTGAGATCGTTGCCCACAGCCAGGCTCCACACTTTGCCTCTGACACTGGGGGGGATGCCTTGCCACCAGAGGTCTCTCACTCGTCGAGATGTACACCTGTGCACACGTGGGAACAAATACAGTTCTTCATAGAGCACACGAACATATGTTGGTCAACCACTTCAAGTCAAATTTGATTTTATCTTTCATTCATCTGCCAGAGACTTCTAACAAACCACAACATTTGTTTCATCATCACTTCCAGGCACCAAGTTTAACCATGACATGCATCAAGTACTCATCATTCTCAAACAAGTTAGAAAAAAAGTGCCACAGACATGAAACATGGAAGAATAAAAAGTATCTCAGGATGAAAAAAAGGAGCCATAGATGAAGAGGACACTGAAAAAGATCTCAACTTAATAAAGAAGACATGATTTAAGAGCTTCAGGCGATAAAGGCCGACGCTAGTGTCCATGTACTGTCACAAAAACATTGTGCTTTCCGCAGTGGAGTTTAAACATCATGTTCTGACTACTGCTGCACTCTACCCTGCGTCCGCCTCTTGCCTGAATGTTTCAGACATCTTCCAGTAGCTGTGAACACGTCTGACCCTGAAGATCGCCTGCTGCGTTGTTCATATGTGAAAAACAAACTCAGCAAAATATCTTTTTTTTTTTAACTGCCATTTTCATGTCTGAAAACAGCCTATGACACTGAGCATTAGAGACAATCGATAAATCAAGATGGTATAAAGTAACATTTCTTCATTTTTGGAAATCAAGTACTAATGTTAGATTCAAGGTCTTACACCTGTGGGAGTGGCACATTTCAGAATAACCGAGTATAACAATGAGGTGTAACAAAGGTAATGACAATGTCGTGAATTCCATCCAACATGCTGGACTGAACATGTGGCAGTAAAGCTTGTAAAACAGGTTGTGATCTCACGATTCTGTCAGTCCACAACATGGCGACTGTGACATCCCAATGAACACTAATAATCTGCACTACATTAAGGTAGAATGGACCACAGAGATGAATTCCGACCATGTTATACATTTCAAGAATTAAATCAAAAGTTGAGCCTTTCAGAGCTAACCGTATATAACATGCACTCCTTTACTATGCAGCAGGTTAAACACTATAGTACACTGAGAAGTACAATTACCTACTACAACGTTATAAGGAAGATTATATCCTCATATGTTTGCCAAGATTATAAAAAACAATATAGATGTTCTTGAGAAGGCTGTGGAATCTGTGGACTGGGTAATTATTAGATATAATAATTACATAATAATAATAATAATAATAATAATAAAAAATGCTGAATCAATGAGGACACTTCACTGTATTTAATCTGGTGCCTCAGAGATTAACCTGGCAGTATTCAACTTGGAGTTTCAACAACAGGCTAAGTCACATCTATGACATTTCCAGTGTTTTAAAAAAACAACTACGAGAAACAGTTGCACAAGCACAATCATGTGAAAAAGAAGAGGGTGAAGCATCGATGACAACCAATTCAGATAACTCATAGCCGTACCGATTTCCACCACAAGGTTGGGGTAATGTGCCACGAGCTCTTCTTTTTTTAAAGCTCTGGGCTTTTCGAAGGGGATTTTCTGGGGAAATACTTTGAACATTGTGATACTTCTAAACTCTGCGAGAGTGATTGTACTCACATTGCACTCCAGTTAGGCAAAATCTCCTGGTTCCAGGCCTGGGCGGCTGTGCCAATGCTCTCCTCAAGCTTACACCGATCCTCCAGCTGCTTCTTCCTCTTCTGAGCCTCCTTCAGCTCTACAGACAGGAGGGTGAGGAGAGGTGGTCAGATACAGTAAAGCTTTTTTTTCCCCCCACTGGTCAAAAACCCACTAACACCCACTAACAAATAGCTATTGTCTGCAATGGGAATGGATACAATCGGCATTCACTCCAGGGTCAAATGGCTCTGCAGTAGATACAGGTTGTTATCGGCTCCGATTGCCAGTGATGGAAACAAGACACGCAAGTAAATGTGCTAATTTGGCAAGACAGTAAGGTGAGAGAGAACCTCAGTCAACTTAGTGTTTGTGGCGTTGAATATGATGCATCAGAAAGACAGAGATAAGAGACGCCGAGCTTTGGAGAACGGTAGAGGACAAATTAAATAGCAGCTTCCTGTTATCAGGTTCCTGTTGCTTTCTTGGGGAATTCCGGTCCTCCAGAGATGACCTCTGACCCTACAAAAAGACAGCAAGTGAACCCTGATTCTTTTGTCACATGTCCTCACCTCTCTTCTTGGCCTGGGCCACCATCTCCTCATACTGCTGTCTGTGTTTCTGAGCCTCCTCAGCTGGCTTGGCAGGCAGGTTCCTGTATCACACATACATGCATTTAAGTAAATGGGTTAGCAGGGATGAGTTTCTCTGAGGTTAACTTGCATTATTCATGTCCGACTGCTTCTGTGGCATGAAATAGAGGAGAATGTACACAGGAACAGGCCAACCGCACTTCACTGCATGTCATTCCCCTGGTGGTGGGAGATGCTGTCAGTTGGGGCTTAGATGTCTGTTTAACATTTATGATGAAGTCACAACTTATGTCAGGTATTTGACCCTTTTTATTGTGTCCTGTAATATCTGACAAACCAGTCATTTTAGAACACTGGGTATAAAAGATCATTCCTGACTTAAGAAACAGAAATCTCACTTTACGGTCTAATGCAAATTAAATATCTATAATCTCAGACAACTGGGCAAACTGTGCTGATGATGATGATGATGATTGTGTCATATATGCATGAGTGACAGCCCGAGAAAAACAACTAAATGGACCTTGAGGTGGTGATTTGTTCTTTAGAAACCAGTTTAAAAAACAAGCTTTTTTTTTATTTTTTTTTTTTTTTTATATAATTGTACAACATGCTCAAATAAATTTAGGTGATCATAAAGGTATTTTAATATTACCTAATATTAGTTAATATTATAGTAGTTTTTGCTGAAATGTTATTAACTTCACTAATTATGTTGCATCAGTAGAGGTTCATATGTTTTCTGCTTCAGCATGTTCAATCTCATACCTGTGTCTTCACATTTGGTTCCTTTACTTCTTTTGTCTTACTGTATTCTACAGATACAGATAAATGATGCACTATATTTCTACTTAATCACCAAATACAGTAGGTGCACTTTTCTAAATGGTTGCTACCAGCAGAGGGTGACACTGACAATGGAAAAAGATAAGGAAGCTTGCATGTAGCGAAAAACCTGAGCAGCAGCTGAACTCTGTTTTTCAAGCCGTGGTGTTAAAATCAACTTCCTGTAAACACAGAAAACCAGGCTGAATTACACTATTGTTTTTATTCAACATGTGGTGGAGCAGTGCCACCTAATGTAAGATGAAGCCCAGTGAGGCCCAGCATAGGTCCGTCGCTTTTTATGTAAACAAAATGAAAACTCAACACAAGACACAAAGCGGGGTAATGGAGCCAGGCGGAGGGAGGGCCATTAAACTTTCAGCAACGCTTCTCTTTTACTGTTCGTGAGACGAGCGGAGGAAGCGCTGAGAGCTGGAATGACACTAAACAGGGTAATGATCCAGCAGAGGAAGGAGGGCTGATAAAGAAGGAATGATGGGGGAGGATGGAGACACAGCAGCCTTATTTTCTGAAGAGCAAACCCCACTGGCGGTGAGAGAGAATGAAAAATGTGGGTTAGTCCAACAACCCAAGGATTGACAGTGTGTGTGGCTGTTTACATACGCAGGTCTGTCCTCCAGTATAAGTGCAGTAGTGGAGAGTGGCTCAAAGTCCAGGTTTTTCCTCACACTCTGCCTGGGGGACGTTGGGTTGCCGGATCCAGCTCTGCCACTCTTCGTTTCATATTCCTGCAACAAAAACAGATGATGAAGACAATTACAGCTAAAATGAACCTTAATTACAACAGTGTAACAGGGAAAACAACTGCCGAGGTCAGTTTTATTCAGAATTTCTTTGGACCCTGTTCAGACCTGGTATTAACATCCATCCTGAGTGAGCGGATCACAAGTCCTCCGCGTCCTCAATGTGTGCTTAGATCCAATCACAGAAACCACATTCGGTGTTGGTCTGGGACGCATTTTTCCACATTCTTTCAGCTGTGTGAACGCTAATAAGTCCTGGGCCACACGAGGGACAACCTACTCAGCTGACGTCCTCTGACCTTCTCAAGTTTCACAATTACCCGACCATATTTTTGAGATTCTCTGTTCCTATATTGGATTTTGTGGTCACGTCACAATATAAACACTTTCCAAGTCTGGCTCTCTCTCTCTCTCAATATGCACATCTATATACTCAGACTGGGTAAAAACAACATAATTTGGTCTTTGCAAACGCAAATGATGTACATGCTTATTTGCCTATAGATCGGGGAAGTGAGATCTGATCACAAGAGATGCATTCAGGAAGCATTTTAATACCAGATGCGAAAAGACGAACTTAGTGCTGACAACTTGTGATCGGATCTCTCAGGACGGATGTTAAATCCAGGTCTAAACAAGGCCTTAGTTTCACATTACCGGGGACAATGACGAACGCACATAATCTACACACACAAATATAGTGAAGTGAATAGTTACTGGAGTTTCCCTATACTGCATTAAAAATACTGACAGCCTGCAGAACAGGGATGTGGTTCCACAGCCAGGGAATTTACCACAATGGTTACAGCTGACATTTAATTCCAACTGTAAGGATTTTAAGGGAAAAAGGAGGGGGATGAAAAACATGAAAAGAAATAAGAGGGAGGGCTTATACATCCACGTTAAGTCACACAGGGACACTGAGAAATGTCTTGACAACCTTGTGACGACGTTCTTATGGCCTCTGAGCATTTGTCAGCTGGTGTCTAATGAGCATGTGGTTGCTGTTCCGCCCCTGGGAGTGTGATACAGGCCTATAGAAAGAGGAGGCCATGTGACTGTCAGTCTGTTACAGCTAAAGCCACAGAGGAGCACTTTAACCAAAGGGACAAGTATCAGCTGACTGACTTTCAGGTTCTGTGTGTGTGTGTAAACCCAGCAGTAAGAATAAGAGAGGCCAAACAGTGCAGGGGCGACCTTTAGAGGAGAACATAGGAAGATGCTGTGTTGTCTTACTAGTTAATTAGGAAGCTACTTTAAATAGGGCAAGTGCAATATGAGCGTGCACGCCCCTCTGTGTGTCCAGAATGTCCTCCAGTGTGTGTCGAGCTGGTTAATAATGCAGGCTGAGGTCTGCAGGCAATCAGCTGAACACTGTGCTACATTCACATTGATCTGCACAGGACTCAATACAGGCAGAATAATCTATTCTTCCGGTGTGTGCGTGTGAATGCACAAGTGTGTGTGTGTGTGTGTGTGTGTGTTACCGTTCGTGATGCAGCACATGTTATTAATCTGTCTTTGTGACGCTGTCTGATGTACCAGAGCCTGAGATCTATTGGCCCTGAGGGACAAATAAAGGTAATTGAATCGGGCTGTATTACTGCATGAAGAGGGGGACATATCAAATCTAAATGCAGGAGGAGAATTTATAAAAAAAGAAATAAAACTACCATGAATTACTTACAATCACCATAAAATGTATGTGCAGGGCACCTGGCAGACAATAAGTTCTTTACAGGTTGATTGAAAATGTCATAAAAAACAACAAAAGAAAGAACCAAGAGTGTACACTCTTGGTACAGTATGACTCTTTGAATTTTTTTCATGCTATACTTGTCTGTAATCACTGGGTGGTTGTGGGGAATAGTCTGATTTGAGCTTAGCTGAGAAGCTGCTTGAGCCTGAATAAGACGAGAGAATAGAAATATGAAGATGAGTCATCATGAGGCTGTGGAAGGAGAGGAAAACGGGATAGCCTGAGAGGGAAATGCCAAAATCATCTCTTGAGGGTTGGACGTCAAGGGAGAGATGTTGACACATAAGACAGGAAGAAATGAGGCCAGTGGTGCATGAAGCAAAGATGAGAGGAGGATGCATGAAGCTGGAAGTTTGAGTGGTAATGAAAAACCTTCACTGCTGGAGAGTGGATGTGATTCATGGAAAGACTGCACCCTGAGCACTGGGCTGAGAGAATGCTACACTAAAGGGTGAGTCACCAGTCTTGTGTGAGTACTTAACCCTCCACTTATTTTAATTTTTTTTTTTTAAACCGTCTATCCAGTAATCACTCTTCTCTCTTGTACCCACTTTGACTGCATATTATATTCAGGAATATAAACCAGGGTGATTTAGTCCAAATCTCCCTCATGCTGCAGAGGAGAGACTAATAACAAGGCCTTTTGCTCATCTTTGTTCTGAAAGACATTTGCCTTGTACAGTATACAGTGCTCCAACAGGCTTAATGTGTCCCAACCTTAGAGACCAAAAGAAGCAGTAGGAGGGAAATGTTTATTTAAGCTGCACTTAAATTACCAGTGGTGTGTGTAATGTGAAGATCATTTTCACCCAACTCTGCAGACCCACTCAGCTTGGACGCCCCCCCCCCCACCCCTCCCCAGTTTGTTCAGCTTGTTGTTTAACAGCCCACAACGTAACTGTTTTGATTCACACTCTAATCCAACCAATTTACCCCAGCAGCAGGCGGCTGGTTCTCTGTGAGGACGCTGTGATGAACCCACTGCCCTGCCCAGCACCGTATGACAAAAGCCAAAGATACACCAATAGTGGTCACTAATAGTATTTACTGCATGAGAATAGTGTATGTTACGGTAAGTATAGTGGGTCACGGGGGAACTGTGAATGTAGTCGGTAACCGTGATGTACAATGGACAATATCACAGTATTCACAGCAATCAACTTAATGAGTACAAGTATATTAACGTATAACTCAAAATATAGTTTGTCTTGTACCATTGTGAGTCCATGCTTAACTTTACTAGTAACATGCATGTACTGCTGCTTGGTTTATTAAGGACAGCAAGTACTCCAGGGAGCAGCTGCAGGTCAATAAAAAAAAAGGGGAAGCCGAGCTTCGCGTCCTGGGAATGGATGGATACTGCAGAGACAGGGAGGGAGAGGAGGGGGAGGTAGACAGGCTGGGGGGGGGGGGGCAATTTGGCATCTGTTCAGCAGCAATGCAGGTGTTACCAAGGTTGAAACAGGAGATGGGATGTGTGCGACTGCACTGAGGTGTGTCTGTGGACAGGGAGATATGTGTGTGATAAAAGAAATTGGGAGGTGACAATAATGAAATGAGCAGTGACAAGTATTAAAAGAATGAGGGTGAGAAACACCTTAGACTCATTACCTGAGTTATAAAAACAAAACACAATGCTGATGGTGCCAGAGCAAGACTCCGGTTAACGCTCGACACACAATTACACATTCCTCTGCGACTCAACAACTAGTACGACTGGTGAATCGGCACTTAAGCCGACAAGAGGCAGAGCATAGAGAGAAGGAAAGAGACTGCACATTATTACATTACTTTCTTCCTCCTGGAGCTGTTATCTACTTCAGCTGCAGCACGATTTGCCTTGTCCTCTTTCACACAAAATGGTGTTTGTTCCCCACACTTCTATATCCTGTTAAACATCTCGCAATCCATCGCAAATTGCAAAAATAAACATAAACTTGTTTCTCATGCATTGTGCGAGCACCATAACAAAGTATAGCACTACTATTTTCAGTGTTCTTCCCCAGATTTGTGAAACTAGTGTGTTGCAAAAGTATAAATCGCGACGTTTTCATGCAATCCTGCTTTGTGAGACTTTATCGTTCGCCCACATGGATTCAAATGAAACATACAAGTAATGAATCTCTCTTAGTGCATTGTTTTTTTTGCGGAAATAAGTGTACAGCTGATCAGATTACACGCTTCACTGTGTGATACGATACAGACCTACTGGCTCATCAGTGTTTCACGTGGCTTCATAAAGGCCCACTTTCATGATCTGGCTACACAAACCAGAATATCTGGTTATCTGGCAGCAGACAAAAAAACGAGTAAGTAAACGACAACACATATGTTGTCATGTTTCTCTGAAATGTTCTGCGATCCAACAATGATACAAAACCCCTCCTGTCCCACCATGGTAGCCTTTAGCTGTAATAGCTACTACATCCCATGATAACCTGCTGCCAGAGCAACCTGCTTTGTCACACTGGCTTTCAGTAAAGTTCTCTGATTTCATGGTTGTGATGTAAGAGCTCTCTGGGTGCACTCACTGACTAGCTGCCTGGCTGTTAATGTCCTCTATGGTTTCCAACTGCAGACACTAGGACGCAGCTGAACATAATGTCAAGTCTTTCTCTGGTGCCGATTCAAAGTAAATGAATGCTCCAATGATTAAAACGACTACAGATACATTTGATGAGCGCAAAAAGGTGCAACGTGGACTTAAAAATACACCAATGTCACAATTGCTAGTTAATCTATCCAGTTTTGCATTGGGTTGTTGCCTTTGCATCTCAGCCCCCGAAAAAACGCTGCTGGTTTTCTTAATAATTGAAGCTGAGAGATGAATGGCCACAGCAGGACACTTAGCCTGGTTTCACTGCCAAATGTCAAACTGCTATAACACAAACTTGATGGAACTGCAACACTTAATTGCGATGATACCTTTCTAACAAGCACTTCAGTGTTCACTGCTGAAACACAGGAGAGCATTCAATTTAATCTGACAAAGCAGATTTCATTTCAACAAATATTTAAATGAAAATCAACGAAAATGTTTATTCACACATTTAACGGGATCTTCTCTGACCCACAATGTATCCTTCGATACATTTTGTGGTCTAGTTTTTGTGTAATCCTGCCGACTCAATGACAAACAAACGAACATAACCAAACAAACCCATAAGCTCTTTGGTAAATAGAGGCTAACATCATTTCTGTTCTAAGTGAGTCTGACGTAATTTTG